ATATTACATAGTCACGCTAGTTTGAGTAGTAGTTAGAGTATGTTGAGGTACATTGCATTCAAGTGTCCAAAATGCTAAAAAAAGAAAAAACAACAACAACAAAAAACTGTGGTCATTCAAAACGTTATCTACAACAGGTAAGATATTGTTTATAAAGTTCACAGATCTAAAATATCCCTTTGATTTTAGTCCAGCTATTTGTCTTCTCGTTCTTACCTACTTTTTAAAGAACCAATTAGGAACCAGCTCTGTCGTATCACTGGAACCTCTTCAGTAGAAAACCCATTCTGTGAACCCCAGGGCCCCCAGCTGCTAAAACAGGCTCTGTGCTTCATTAATTATGGTATGCTGCTCCCTGAGCCTCGTCACTGCACAAACAAAACTACAGCTAACAAACAAAAATGAAACATCAGCCGTGTTATTAAACTCTAATATTCACCACCGACAAACGTTTCACTCAGTTAACATAAGCAGTTAGAGCAAACCTGTGGTACAGAGCTAATCTGCAGTCCTACAGTTTGTCTGTCATGCAGAGATAATCAGGCCAAACATTCAGCTGAACATTTCATTTGGAGATAATTACTCAGTGATGCTTAAAAAAAGAAAAACCTCCCAAAGCTTGTGTGAGAGCACTCAGTGTGCCTCTGAAAAGCCTTTCCTCAAACCGTATGAACTATTTGAACTCTTGATGAATATTTTTTTGTTCTCACGTCCTTCAGGCTGCAGACTGAGTTATGTTTTAAAGCCCTAGATTTTCTTTGTCCATCACCTCAGTCAGCATGAAGTATCTTCCAGGTGAACATGGATAATATGTTTCCTGACCTTATTTGCTCAAAATTAGTTTAATTTTTTAGATGTGATATAAATTTATTTTCATGTAAAAATAATAGAATCTGTGAAAAATGAAACTTCTGGAATAAACCAACGAAAGAAGTAGATTACAGCATTTTGACTCAACTCTAAAATTTCCAGTAAATCAGAGCTAAAAAGCTAAAATTGCCAAAACAATTTCTGGATTTTTGACAATCTAAGCTGAGGGTGAGCAGTATTTTTTAAGGTACTTTTAATTTATTTAAACACTTAAAGCGCCACACATTGAAACGAAAATCCTCCCACCTCAAACATTTTAAAAATACTCTCTCAACCAGACAATTGTCTGTTTGTGGGGCAGATAATTTTGTTTTTCTGTAGTGCACACCCTTTTCATTCAGGACTTCTTTTTTTCACCATCTTTTATTATTGTGTATATATTTAGTGTTTTGAGTGAAATGTTTTTAATAAAAATAAATAAATAAAAATGAAGGTATCTTTTTAAATTCTTGAATAATAGTCAAATTCCCCCTCAAAATATTCTGTAAAGCAGCTGTTTTTCCAGCAGTCTGTAGCCTGGTTAGTCACAGTGGGCACAGCTAATCTCAAAGTTAGCTTCGCTCGCTCAAAATCCACTAAAAAACTAGCTTTGCTAATGCTAAACATGTAATAAAGTTAACAAAAGCTAACACAAATTGCTGATTTTTGGTGTTGTTTGATATGTTGTTCTGTATATTTTAATATTTCACATCTTGTGAGCCAGAGAGAAAAATTTCCACTAAAGTGAACATTATTCTAGTCTATTCTATATATATATATATATACACTCACCGGCCACTTTATTAGGTACACCACGCTAGTAACGGGTTGGACCCACTTTTGCCTTCAGAACTGCCTCAATTCTTCGTGGCATAGATTCAACAAGGTGCTGGAAGCATTCCTCAGAGATTTTGGTCCATATTGACATGATGGC